AGGTAATTCTCTTCAAGCCACTGTAATACAGCCAAGGCTACGACTAACAACACCGGAATTCCGGACCGACTATCACTCGCTTTCTCAAGTTAAACTACACCCATCTGTAGGGGTTGCATCAACAACAATGACTACCGGAGTTACTAAGCTGGATTAATGTTAACTTCCGGTTGCATTGCTCCGAACACACTGCATGGAATCCTGATGACTTACAAAGTGGTCCATGCTTTTGAGAACTTCACCACTGAATTTGTGCATGTGCATCTCATGGACTGTGGTTTTTCCTAATTTTTTTAACTACTGTAGACTTGTTGTAAGGATAACTTAAGTGGTTATCAAGTGTTAAATTTTCAGGACCGACGTTTTGTTGTGCCTTCACCCTGAAAGTGAATGCAGCGTTAGGAGGGAATGGTAGTCATCCATGGGAAGCAGCTAACTGTTTTCACACGTATTATATTTGTTTATTTGATACAGTATTGTGTACTTGATGACATTTCGGGCATAATTTATTGCCTATAATCATATCACACCAACCAATAGTGCTACTTCACTTTCTAACTCCCACCATCACATAAGTTATTCACACCACAATGGTGATTGTTTTTCATCTTAACACTGTTCAACAGACCCTTCTGGTGTGGTAGGACCTCAAGAAGCATTGTCTTCACCAACCTAGCTCATTGGGTCGTCGTGAAATACAATTCCAACTGCCGTATCAAGGTAGCGGATGGATCAGGTGAGTGGAGGCAGCTATCAGTCGAGATGAGTATAATTTGTCGATGGATCTGTGCTACTGAGGTTAGTTCCAAGGTATGTCTTCTAGAGCTCCCAATCATCGGCCTCAGTTGTAGCGTGAACCCTTTCCCGGAAGTCTACATTTCCGTGCACTGTTCCCCTCAACAGGCAGAGGCTTCATGGAATGATGCGATGTCTTATTCTGTTTGCCTTTGATCTTTCTTCAGTCTAAACAAACTTGAGAGAGGGTTACGCGACGGAGCAGACGGTGAGTAGGTTTTAACCACACAGGTGTCAACCACATGAGTTGATGAAGGTATGCAACGTTACCAGCTGACTTGCCTCGTTATCCCATAACTAAATCTGAATTCTACGTTATTGATATGGTGGTTGTCTAATACAAGGACAGTGCTTAGAAGACAATGGTAGTGAAACGCGGAAAGTTCCCTTATCTCTTCAGGCGTTGCTGGCCATGATTTACAGCTATAAAGCGGGACACGGCTAAGTGAAGAAGATTAACCTTGACTATTAGGCGATGGGACGCCTTGTCAATCCCATAGTTGCAGTGATTTCACAGTCGTGAACCGGACCATTTATATCCGTGTGGAGATCTGGTTAGTCACTGACCTCTCAAGGCTGATGTAACTAACTAACCAACCAAGTAATTGAAGTACTCAACGTGCACAGCCACTTCACTGCCTGCAGTCAGACGGAAATCTTCACAGACTAGCCAGTCGTGAAACAACAATTCGCATTTGAGTGATAAGAGAGACTGGGAAAATTTTTTATGTGTGACTTTGTGAGAGGAAGATACTGCTTTTTGTCAGTGTCTTCACGTGAATGGACTGTGTCATATATGTAATGTAGTGAACTTTTTGACATGTTCGATTTCAGTTATTATATTTTATTTTTATGAGAACACAAACGTGGTGGAGCAAAAGCACCAAGAAGTGCGCCACAAAAAATAGTATAACAATATTATGAAGACATAAACAATGGGAAGTGGTTAAAATCAGATGGCAGGAATAATAAGAATAAGCAACAAGGAGCTCTCGCTGTCTGACTGTCAACGAGCCAACCAAGAATCTTTCGTCCAACAAATATGCAGAAGAAAGTGGAGATGGATTGGATTGAGCATACACTGAGGGGACCATTTTGGGGACTTCACGTGCAGGCCAGACCGTCGAGTGGAAGCCAAATGGGAACTGACGAGTTGGGCGTCCGAGTCGATGGTGACATGGAGGAGATCGTATGGGGAAGAGATGAAAACTTGTGGGCAGTCGTGGAGCCAGGCTGAAAAGACTGCAGAGAAGAGAGTGAAACGGTGACGTGCTACTGAAGCTCTATGTCCCACTAGGAACCCAAGGGACAAATAATAATAATAAATTTCTCAGGCACGCTGCTCCTTAATAGACAATTCCATAGTTTAACTCTGTCGAGCGAATTGAAGGCATCCGTATTGTCAAGAAATACATCGATTGTTGGCCTGGAATACATGTGGCGATGTTGAAGCATCTTTTGGAGGGTAATCAACTGATTAATACACCCGTGACCTGAACGAAACCCAGCCTGTTCCTTGCGAATCATTTTCTCATGTGTTTCGCAAAGTCTGTGAAGTATGATGGTAGCCGATATTTTTGACACGACTGGTAACAGACAAATGCTCCGATGATTTTCAGATGCATTACGTAGACCCCTTTTAAAGATGGGCTCAATGATAGCCTCATTTCAGAGTGGTGGAACACTCTCAGTATACCATAGCTTCTCGAAGATTCTAGTCAGTTTCCTAACTGGTGTCTTTCCTCCATCCTTAAAAAGAGCTAGAGGTAAGTTGTCCAGGACTGGTGGTATTAGGTGTTTCAAAATTGTGAGTTTCTTATGGATCTCCACTTTGTTAGGTAGGTCAGTGTTTGATATGATGCAACATTGCTTCGGTGGGTTAATCACCTATTTCTTGGTCTCAACCAAACATAATATTTCACACCAGTGACCAATATGTTCTCTTGGGTCTTGTTCAAGTCACTAATGTAATACTGCTATGTTTGAACCCGTTTCATCACATCGTCGACTGATTTTTTCGGTTGTTTTATCCAGTTCTTATGTCTGCAAAATGTGAAATATGTGCACACTATCAAGACGGCTAGTTTAATGTTATGAAGCTACACTAACCTGTTTTCTAAGACCCAGGGTTTCCTCAATGATGATTTCTGTCAAACCACGTTGTTGTTTGACGCTGGTACTTATCACTAGATGTGTATAGTCGTGATGAAGCAAAGGAAGAAGCTTTCTAGCACGTTGGTCTTGTTAGTCTTTCCTGGCAACCTTTTTATCCTTGAAATTAGACTAAAGTTTGATATCTTACTGTTTAAGATCCTAAGGTGAATACAATTCAAAAGTAAGTTGATTTCTAATGAGCTAAATTCTTCTCTTGTAGCTATGTTTAGTGAATGGTGAAGGTACTTGTTTGACTTAAAGTTTTCATGTGATATCTCAACAATGCTTATTGCACCGAATGCAGTAAGATTTGAAGGTGCATTCAAAATGATCTCAGCCACTATATTTCCTTTTCATACATTTCGTTTGTTATGAAGAATGCAGAACTAATAACGGGGAGTTTCAAAAGATGTTGGAGTATGTAGAGAAGATGGAGATGTTTCAAGATGCTTGTGGACATCTCAGAGATCATGTTTGTCATTATCACCATCCTAAAACTAATGCTTCAGCAGACTGGTACTTGTTAAACTTGATTAATATTCGTTGTGGATTATTTGGGTTAGTTAGAATGTCGAATTGACAATATTTTGGTATGCAGTTTGTCCAAACATACATTCATAAAATCCATTCCTCTTAAGACTGGTATCTGAAGACAAACAGTATGGTTTTATCCTCTCCGAATCTCGTCTCAGATATTTTACATATTGTTCACCCATGTCCATACTGAGTGGTTGACTTCAAGTGCGAATGCCGTTTACTATCGGCTAATACTTCGAATATAGTTATAGCCTATCTTATTTTTCATTTTCATTTGAAATCTAACACCTATCAACCTACAATATTCTAGCTAGTCTGATGTAAGTATTCCAGTTATAACTTGTCTTTGGGGGGAAATAACTGCTATATGCACATGTGTGCATACTCTATGTATGCAGTGAAATCATGAGCCACTTGTCTTACTGGAGTGCACTAATCAAATGTATCTGCCTCTCTGCTGGATTGTTGGCGTTGCTAATGGGATTTTTATGGATCACTTATCGTTTCGTTTTCGATATTTCTTCTGTTTTTAAGGCACATTTCTATAACAGTAGGCTTCGTAAAGGAGTTTAAAGACTCATGGCAACAGATATTCATGTGCAAATCTGTTACTCTATGTCCTGAAGTCGGTTGTTTAACATTTCCTAGACGTCCAAGTTGATGGGTATCACGGTGTCGCACATACTAAATCTAATTTCCCTTTTACTACACCTACTTTGAAATGATGGTTGACGTTATTAGCATGGCGCGATCACGTTGACTGTACTTTGTGTTTTTCCCTTGACGTCTGTAACTCAGTTAAATTTCAGTTTTAGCAAATAGATACCATAGGAACTTTTGGAAATATTGCATGTATTCAAGCTGCCGTGCTGCTTCTCATTAAGAAAACTCACTCAACTATCTTGTGAACATCTGTGCAGTAGGCAAAGTGCCACACCTATTTTGTGAGGGCTAAGGATACTACCTGGCTTCCCACACTTCAATAGCGGTGGTTGGTAGTCATCTTCCTAAACCACTTCTCACCACTGAACCGAGGAAATTATTTGAGTAATAATTTAGTTCTAAGTAACGCTACGCTAGTAATCATAGGGAACAGATAGGTACGAAATATGGTGTAAAAAATTATGAAAGTGATTTGTAATCAGCTTGAAGGTATTTAATCTAAGGTTTTTAACCCTTAATTTACGCATTCAACGAAGCGTCATCTAAGTAATCTACAACATTGGTGTTATGTCTCGGTGTAAATACTACTATGGTTTTCCAAACGACTCCTACTCCATTCAGTTTGGCACTTCACTGTAAGGGGTGACTTGTTCCGTATAATATTTCTAACCACCTTCGTTGATGGAGGTCAACTTTATGCATGTACATCTAGATTCCGCACCATCTATTGTTTCCATTGCAGGTGAACACTGTCCTAAACGTATTGGTGACTGAACGGTTTAAATGACCTCAGTTCAGTTAATTGCTAATCCTGAATTGTTATTTTTTAAATTGAGACGAAACAGTTCGTCCAAACCAGATGCATTTTTAGGCTTCTAGTTTGTTACTGTCATCTCATTTATGGTTATAGGAGGAATGTTTACTTCAACCCTGGTGTAATGAAGAACGGTCAGGGAGTTCTCAAAAGCCTATTCAGTTCCCTAACATTTTAAACTCAGAACTTCAGCTGAGTCGAAGTTAGTATATGCTCCAGAATTAGTACTTGTTCCCTACACATTTTTTTTGGTGGTTGCCTATGACGAAGTAATGTGTTTTCATCGTAAACTTTGACTGTTATCCTGGGAAGCTGAACTTTTTTTTTGATGCATCAAGTTACCATATTTTCTAAATTTTTCATAAAGATTATTAAAACAAAAGCTGAATTGGCCACGCTGAAATCTAAGGGACCACGTGTTACAGAAGCTGATATGAATTCAGTAAGTCTTTCGATCATCACAGTTTCTTATGAATATGCACGCATTTTAATTGTTATTTTCTCGTAACTATGCTACTTTAGTTGAGTTTCTTAATTCCTCTTTAACTACCATAAATTTGGTATGTAATCATGAAGTTGACGAGATACTTTCATTTTGCTGATTCAGTTTATTATCAGCTCATGCAATCTGTCTATAATGGTTTACCCTACCTATCATTTTTGCTTAGTTTTCCAAGATATAAATCTGTTGTTGATTATAGATGCCTCCTCAGTATGTTTTATTATTCTATAAATAATTCTAATAAAAGGTTGCAGAAGTTCACAGCAAAATGATTAGCGAATGGAGAAGACGGAAACGTATCGTAAGTTCTAAATCTGTTAAGTACTTTATGTTTTTATTTTTTCAAACGAACTGCTCATTTTAAATGATGAATTTGATATAATTTCACTGCAAAACTTCACTCTTTTCTGAAAATTGATAGTAATAATAATAACAGCTAATTTCCTCACTGCTATTACGTATTCATTCAGAAAACTTATAAATACTTTCATTGTTTTGTTTGATTAGAGAACGTGTGCTAATGTTATAGAATCACTGGTCATTTTTACATACTCGTCCTATATCTACTACCTTGATATAATGGTCAGGCTTATATATCACAATAACCTAACGATCCATGCTCGCGGAATACTTGTCCGCTCGAGGTCCTACCATATCAGAAACGTCAGTTGGATAATGGTAAGACAAAAAGCAGTTACCATTATAGTGTAAACTGCTGCACTGTGATGGTGGTTCCAGGGTGAAGTTATAGTACTGGCTGGATGGGGGTGTGACAGCTGTATGATGTTTACCTTGATTGACAAGCAGTGCCACACTAATACTACCTTCTTTATAGGAAGTGGGGGAATAGAAAAGATAGACCCTAAAAATAGCATACTCCCCTTTACCCTGTGACATACTGATGACGGCGATATGAGTTCATGGTTTGACTCGAAACCAACGAACTTAAATCTCAAACTTCTATAAAGGTCGTGTACGATCAACCTCAAACATATTTCCATTGCACTCTGCCACCACGTACTAAGCCATCTTTTTCAGGTACTTCAGGGAGCCTTCCGGTGTGTAGGCAGCTGGGAAGTGTCACCCACCCTCACACTTCCGGTAGTATACAAAAGCCAACAAACCATAGCTCACCCTCCTTACCTTTGTCTCTTCGTTTGCCTTTACATCCTGATATCAATAATAATCCTTTTGCAACTTCCCCAACCTCTTAATCCGCATCCACTGCTAACCATTCAGTGCATCGAAACACCATTCCTAGTTTTCTAAGACCAGGGTATCGCTTTCTCGTTGGACCCTTCTGCATCCGAACCCTTAGCCAAACCGGACAACAGACATCACTCACCGGTAACTCTGGAATCTTGAGCCGCGTTTGTATGCTGTGCTTCTGAGACATGTATACAGGATCCACGTTTGGTCATTCTCTTGACCCCACCTGACCAGTGTGAAATTCACTTGACGAGCGTCCAGAGATTCAGTGGCTAGCTTGTGGCCTCACTGGTGTATGGGGTAGCATCAAAATGTAGGGCAGAAGGCTGACTTCTCGACTGGATACTAGTCAACAGCCGTCCTTGTGCTATTCGACTAGATGAATCTGTAAGAACTACCAGGGATCATGAAACTAACCGATACCTATTCATAATCTGCGTCTAGGCGCCCACCGATGCAAAGAAAGAATTCTGTTGAAAGTAGCTAATCTTGCTGCAGAAAGCTAACCGTTCAGGCATAGTTATAATAGCACCTGACTTCAACGCTCAAGTAGAAGGGCTGAGTCAGTCGAAAAGGCATCTGGAAAATATCTACGGAAACTAATGCCGACGAAACGACAGCGATGATCATTGTTGCAATTTCGTTCTGATAATCACTTCTTTGCAGCCAGCACTAACTTCAAGCTTGAGAAGAGGCGCTGTCCTGCATGGCGTCCGTGGATATGAAACCAACGATGGATACAGATACGTCATATTTCTATAAGCACTCGCTGGAGAGGATCAATGGAGGATTGGCACTCTTTCTAGAGTACTTGATTAGGATTTGATCACGCATTAGTACGGCCACGTGTATCTGGACCTTACTGGCCACAGAAAACATGTGGTAGTGAAGCCTGTCTGTGCTCGATTAGGAAGTGAGAACGTCAAGTGTTTATTTAGAAAGGAGACAGCGAAGCATTTGCCTACTTGATGAGACCATCAAGCCCAATGACGAAGACTAGTGGTTTCCACAAAGTATGCCCCGCTGTCACCCTTCCTGTTTGACTTTATTACAGATGAACCAGTGGACATAATCTCAGGTACCTGTGACTTCACAGGGAACGATCTCGTTGACTTAGAGTGCAGATGCTAACAAAATGCAGGGTCTTCTTAACGTCTTAAACAGAAATCTTAGTATTTTCCATATGCATTTCGCACCCGTCAAGTGCAATATGATGCTCGAGGACTGGTGTGCAACTACTCCCAGTTCAAGGTTAGAGAGTGAAGTAGTTGAATGCGTCGACCACCTCAGGCCGAATGGAATGGTTAACGAAATTTTGTTTGGCATTTGCCAACCTGGATCATCTCTGGTGCTGACTGGCGAGATATCCAACTACCTATTAACGGAACATCATATTGCGCTGCAGACCGTTCGACCCTGTTTTATGGCTGAGACATGGCCGTTAAAAGTAGGTATGAAGTGGTTACAGGTTTTCGACCATAGTTGTCTTCATAGTGTTGCTTACGTTTGATGGAATCACCATGTTGTTAGCAACGTTGAGGTCAGGCGAAGGGTACTAATCAAGACAGTATTATTTATTATTATAACACTAACGTGATATAGCAAAAGCACCAAGAAGTGCGCCCCAAAAAATATAACAATATTTTGAAGACATAAACAATGGGAATTGGATAAGTAAGAATAAAAAGCTATAAGAATAGAGTGATTAATAGGGCAGTCCTGTAAGATTTGTTTAGAATAAAGCATTAATTACTTTTCAGCAGCGGAAGATTGAAGGCAGCTACAGCACAACCGCCACTGGTTTTGATTCTGAGCCATATCTGATAAGGTCTGAAGCCACTGAGTTGCATGATCTCTCGGACCCAACCCGGAGATTCGTGATGCACCACGAGATGCTAACCCGACACAATTGTTCTTGATTCCACGGCTCCATGTCATGCACTGACCACCTGTCTGGTTCTTCCATCCAGACCGAGGAGTGGCAAACAGTAGACAGTATGGAAGCCGTTGGGACGACATGCGTATCACATGTCCAAGCCACTGAAGCTGTTGTTTCCAGATGACTTCACTTGTTGAACGGCGATCTCCATCATGTCCTATTCAAACAAATGGTGTCATACATTAGAATTACTTACATGGTGTTGCTACCGGGAACGAGCAATCATACGGAGACAACAATGATCGGAAACATAGAGTCGTCGCAGATCCTGAGCTGGGAGAGGCGAGGTTTCAGTCGTAAAGCAGGAGTACTCTAACGGAAGCGTTGTAAACCCGAAGTTTCATTGTCAGACTAATGTCGTGACGGCGCTAAAGGTGGTCCAGATTTGTGTATACCACTCTGTTTTTCGATGTTCTGTTGGAAAATTCATCACACACCTCTATCACACACAACTATCCAGAAACATGAATTTTTCGACTACTTTGAAGGGCTCATCACCGTAGGTGAGCATAGGTACAGGTTCCTGCCAACCTTGGAAGAGTACTTTGCAGTTCGATGGTACAAAGCACATACCGTACTCATGGACACTAATAGGCAACTGATTAAGTGTGACTTGAGTTGTCCGTTTGTTATTGCACAGTAAGACGATATCGTCTGCATATTGTAGTTTGAATAGCTATTCTTCGGGTAGCAGATCTACACCATCATCATGACACATTTCCTTCAGAGCTGTTTGAAGAGTGTCATTGATGGCAATGTTGAGGAGGAATGGAGAAATCGAGCAACCAAATGGAAAATCTGCTGCAGAACGCATGCTTGAACATTTGATAAGAACTGTTTTTACTTCAGTGCTTCGCAAATCCAGGTAAACAAGTGAGCGGCGACACCAAATTAGTAATTTCCTCGTTCGATCAAGTTAAAAATTGTTAGGAAACAGATGAAATCAAATGCGAAGTCGGAACCGTATTTCATGAAGTTAAAATACCCCCACCAACCTAGAGAAGACCTGTCAATCAGTAGGATGGAGTTTCCGTAATGACAAAAAGGTTGATACCTTTTACAGCCTACTTCTTTATCTGTTTTTAGGCAACGCACAGCCGTCGAAAATTTAACCACAACACTATATCAGTAAGAGAACATTCAAACAGTGAGAGGAAATTCAAGAATGCTTCGAACTCCCTACCACAATAGCCCTAAACCGTTAGTTCCAGGTAACCCGCGACGAAACTTCAAGTAAATCTGAAGTTACCTTCGTAATTGTAGCTTAATTTTAAGGCGGTGGGTGATTTACCTTCATTACCACCGTGTAGATCCTTCGGAGAAGCTCAGAATTCACTGAAAACATAACCAATACTCGTACATAGAATATTCACAAAAGACTATATGATTGTACCTGTATCCTATTGGCGTATTACACTGAATTGATAGAAAAAATATGCCATTCCAGAAAGGTAAAAAAATAATCTAGGCCATATATATACCGTTGTGCACGTTTTGATTTGTTGGTGAAGTTGTTATCGTTTTATCTCTTCTTCGTGCTTTCAGGAAACTGAGTGACCTTCAAAGGTAAATACTGAGGATTGTTGTTCAGTAGGTTCCCACGTATATTGCGTTATTGCGTTATACCAGAGACCATGATTTTGTTCAAAATCATGCTTAGACAACCGTCATATTTAACGGTAACTTTAATTTGGGTAGTTATTCAGAATTCTGTGATGCGATAGCTATATATTCAACTTGAAACAATATCATTTTCATTGAGATTTTGAAGTGCTAGCATTATCTCAGCATTTAGATTTCATAAGTCCTGTACTTAAATTAGCAGGGGGAATGTTTGTCAAGTTCGGCTGGTCTACCTGGAAATTCCGATGCTGATGATCTAGTTATGTTGACCAGTGTGAAGCACATAGCCGACAATGAAGTTCTTGTTAAGTGTTTTTTATTCAATTGCCCAGTCATGTCAAAACAAGAGGGAACTGCTGGTTTGCATGAGTAACACTAACACGATATGCTTTAATACTTCTAGGATTCTCATTGTGATCAGCCATTGTCACATCATGTATCAAAATAGTATTAATACATTAGCGATCGTTATTTTGTGTGAAGTTATAATGGACAGCGTCAGAACAAAGGATATTTGTATCGGAGTACTCGTATCTCGGAGTGGAAATATTCTCTGTTGTTATCAGATTTTCGTAAAATAGTTTTGTCTGTAGGTTTTAATTGGTATTATTAAATAAACTTTTTCTTCTTGTAATGTAACCTATTAATAGGCAATGAATATTATCGACACTATAGCTGAGGGATACCCGTCAAGCAAGAAACAGTTGATGGTTAGTTGTGGCAATTTTTACGTTGATTTTTACTGTATCTTGAATATGCCAAACATTTTTTTGTATAGCGTTTTGGATCAGTTACGCACATGTATAGGAATACACCAATCCTCTTAAGCGCTCATTTTAGGTTATAGTTCTATTGTATTGGAAGTAAGCACTTGAACTATGATAGATCGTAGCGATGGGTATGATGGGACACTTCACAAAATTATTTGTTGGTTTATGTAAATTTTGATCAAGATTTGACCGAATAGTATCGGAAATATTGGATTCTGATTAAAATGTTGGCATTAAATTTAGTTTGTATCTTTTTGAAATGAAATAATTTTAACATTTCGCTGGAAAGTCTGGTCTGAGCTTCAGGGAAATAATGAAAAACTAAAATGTATCTTTTCACTATCTTCTTGCTACTAGACTCAATTCATTTTGATCGTGCATTCTAACTTGTAATACACAAAGTAGGACGTGGTATTCGAATGTCATTGATTAGAATATTAATTTGTTATAAAATGGGGTGATAGAGGAATAATTGTTACCGAGTATGTAAATTTATCAGTTATTGAATGACAAAATACCCCTTAAAACCTTTCTCTATGTTATAAATTGATGGGCATAGTTTCTTTTTCTGATCAGAAATATTTTTAAAAATTATTTCCTTATCTTAGTCTGATATAGGCATTGAAACAGATGAGGAATGTGGAGTTAAAATGCCGACTTGAAGTTCTGAGATAAAGATTTTATTATCGGGTCTCAATTGCATTTGCGTTATTTTGGATATACATTATTACCTGCATATAACTGTTATATCTTTCCACCAATAAAAATTATCATTTAATGTGAGTTATTTTTGTTGTCCCTGCTCTACTCAGTTTTATTAAAACGATATTATCCATCCATAAGCTTGTTCATTGTGGACTCAGGGATGAAGACTACTGCTAGAAATTGAATATTATGCATTTTTCAGCTGGAGTTCCTTTCTTTCAGAATGCGTGCCATAAACTGAGTTTCTTTAGTCTGAAGTTGTCTTTGGTGAGCTTATTTGTATTGTATTGACAAACGTAATTGGGGTGTTTCATGAGTCTAATTTTGCAGAAGGAATATGTATTTCTGATATTTACTAAAAAGCAAGAAGTAGAGACCTGGAACTTCACACCGTTACAAAGCACCTATTCGTAAGCAAGCAATTATACTGGCTTCGTGAAATTAATTAGCTGCCAGATCGGAGTGTTCTAAACACAGTTCGCACCAGCTAAGATAGTGTAGAAGAAACGGCTGACGGAGAAGGCCTTCATTGGACATTTACTGCCCAATCATTTCTCGCATTCCTGTAAGCATTTTGGTAGCTAAATTTCTTCCTAGCTCGGTGATGCAAAATTCTTCATCCAGACGTCATTGATTTGTAATATGTCCCTTCATCGGAACAGCTGTCTTCAGCAGTATGCAGGAGACATTTACTTTAGTGTTAAACAATTTTTCTTTAACTTACCAGTTTTATTCCCTTGTTATTGATCGCATAAAAGCGAGAAATTGAGAGCATTGATCCGTAAATCCCTGTTCTTGGAAATTTGATTTGATCTGGATTAATCATGTTGTTGGGTTGTCTCACCAGACAGGTATGATCTCGATCGAATGCATCGTTAGATTGAGGCGAAATTGGAATTCTGGTCGCATATGGATAGGGAAGTTTATAATTTGAGTAAATAAAGGTTATGTATAAACAAGAAATGAAGAGATGAAAAAAGAAGCTAACTGGTTTGGACATTGCCGTCACATTATCTTGACAGATGCAGAAGCCAAGCAATAATTCTTCGCATTTTTGGTATACCTACGAATGTGATACGGGGAAAGAAAACATTAGTCTAGCCAGATAATCGTTTTTTTTTAATCTCGCCAACTTACTTGACACAGTCTGCTAGGAGATTAGATTGAGATTGAGATATTTCGTTTGGAGATAAAAGACTGTAAGCTAATATTACTCCTTTTCCAGTAGATTTCTCTGCTTGTGCAATCCCATTTTGAACGAGTCAATTGATGATGCGAACACCAGTTCTTCTGGAAGTTGGTTCCAAGAGTCGATTAGTTGACGCGAGACCCAGTACTCTGCGAAGACTATGTCCGTTCTTTGCTTTTGTATTCTCCTGGTACGTCCTCTGAAGTGTCCCAACCTAGTGAAAATGAAAAGAGAAAATAGATCGCAAATAATCAACATACCGTCACATGACAATGTACCAAGTGGCACTGTACCTTAATCTTAGTCAGTCCGTTGAAACGTTGGAAGTATCTATCAATTTGAATATCTCCTGGCATAAGGCCATTGATTCCAAAGATATCCTCGAAGCTGAGCATCTGAGAAGACGTAGGATTCATGTACTGCGATGAGTGGAGGTGGTGGGAACTATTCGAGATGCATGCTGCCCCCCCACACACTAAGCTGTGAGCACTAGATAATGAGGGTAAACGAGAAGAAAAACTCAACCCATCACTAGTGCCTGATTGCTGTTCTGCAACAAGGTTTCAAGCGGTGCTGATACCTACTAAGAGTTAAGATACAATCACCACAAAATTCACTGAACATTGGATGAGAGTGCATTCCATTTTTGATTCGTCTTCTTATGCCCATTGTTCGTTCATTCTGAGACTGTAGCTGAAGGATAATTGACGCTTATGTCGTGTGTAGGTCACATGCTTGACTTGTAAGCAGATTAGTTTTCAGGTTAAAGGACAGTATTCGGCGTAGCGTGTATTACTTCTAGTTGTGCGAATCTTCTGTATATACATACTAGGCTTGTTCATTGTTGCTTTTTAAACATTTGATTTGAATTTGTTAGTATTTTGTCAACTAAACTGCCATTAGTTCTAGAAAGTAAGTGAGAAGACAAGAAATCCAGTTGGGACAGTAGGTGCGAATGGTGACAAAGTTCAAAGTCTTGTCGTAACTTTCTATCCTCCCTTCGTATAACTAAGCAACTGTGGGTACACAAAATTCTCTCCACTTTGACGTTACTACCAGCACATCTGGCTCTCAGAGTGCAACAGTATTATTTATTGGATAACGTTTCAGACAGTTTGCTGCCCATATCCATCTGACAGGACCATAGAAACTAGGTAATGTCGACAACGCTCTCCGGTAAGTAGTACTATTTCACTGTGACATACCTAATAAACACACTAAAATGGAATTGCAAGTTACCACAGTTCCCAAGTTTTACCCCTATATGAAGGTTTCTCTCCTTCTTATTCTCTTTCATCTAAATCTAACTACATAATAACTTGGGCTGTTCACCAACCACATCTGCCCAAAAGTGGCTACAGTTAGCAGTAGGACACTTATAATTACGGTTATTTGTTAACTGTGGTCTACGAAACAAAGTAATTCCACTCGAATAAAGTATACATTTGTGGGTTGCCATGGGAGTTCGTGCTTGGCTTCAGGTATCCGATGAGCGTTCTTGGCCTATCCATAATAATATTGAGCCAATAAGTATTTGAGTTGTATTATTTAAGTTGAAATTTCCTTTGGGCTGAAGAAATTAATTTTCATGTTATGGTACTGTGGTGGCAATGAAGTCTGTTCGATTTTCTGAGCACTTTCTGTTGCCTGTAGTTGAAGACTGAAATTCAGGAACAAATAAGATTTACGGTATGTGAGTAAACTAGCCAACGTAACGCCTACCCTTAACTCTGTCTTTGATTCTCAACCCTAACTTTTATTTGCAGTGTATTAGGTCTCTGGGTGGAGAAGGGAAAGCCGAAAAGTATATTCTACTTTCAGCGCCAACTTTGTTTCTAAGTCGTAGCCTACCAGTTCCGACTGCTGACAGCTAGTTCTGATTTTGTGAAGTCGGAAGGCTACTTCTAGTCATGATTCCCGTTCAGTGGCAGCTGACATTTTCGTCACAAACGATCAGAACTGCATTATTTGACGTGGACAATGAACATAGACTTATGCCTTCCTAGCCTGCCATAAATTACCAAGTATTTCACTCGTTTCTTATTAATCGTTTCACAGAGGGAAGAATATGTCGACCGTGGTAGGGCTAAAATTTTATTAATTACATATGTTTCATAATCGTTGTCATATTATGTGGATTGTGCTGCTTTAAACAGTGATCTGTGCTTGTCTTCTTGAAAGTCCTTGTTAAGGTGTGAAATGGACGATTGTGAATAGCCACATTAGAATTATGAAGTATTAATTATAGTGTTATTTTAAAATGCAATCTATCTTACTTACTGGGGACAAAATATCGTTGTATGTTTTGTGGCAGCTTCAAAACTTGTGGTTAGTTTGTTGTGCTTCACCTGTTGAGGTAAAAGTTGTATGAGTAACAACATCACAGACCCGAGTTATCAGCAAAGTAGATGTATCTCATGGGTCTACCTCTGATCTCTTCACCATGCGTAATAGCATAATCAGACACTAATAAGTGGCATGCTGGTTTCTACCTTTGCAGATATAGGCAGCCGTAAGGCACAGAATCGAATATCGACTTCCAAAAGTCTCCCTCTAATTCTTGACTCAGCTCTGAGTTGGAAGCCAGTTTTCAGAACTCTGGATGTTAATGGGCCTACTCACTAAACAAAAGACATCCAAACAACGCATTCTGATGGAAAAAGGCATTCATTTAGGAGGATTCTGTGAATGCCCTGTTAGTGTTATCCGGGAATCCACCCAACTGTCAGGCTTCAACGCATCCACATTCTCTGGACCATTGGTTCGTTTACCGTACAAACCTCCTCGTGGGTTAGTACACCTGCATGGAACGCATCTCACCGAAGTCTGGACAGCTCTGCAGATTGGATGCAGCTCATCTTCCTGAAGAGACATTCCTTTAGGAGGCTGGATCATGGGCCCATAATGGCGACAGATTCACAGAGGTAATTCTCTTCAAGCCACTGTAATACAGCCAAGGCTACGACTAACAACACCGGAATTCCGGACCGACTATCACTCGCTTTCTCAAGTTAAACTACACCCATCTGTAGGGGTTGCTTCAACAACAATGACTACCGGAGTTACTAAGCTGGATTAATGTTAACTTCCGGTTGCATTGCTCCGAACACACTGCATGGAATCCTGATGACTAACAAAGTGGTCCATGCTTTTGAGACCTTCACCACTGAATTGTGCATGTGCATCTCATGGACTGTTGTTTTCCTAATTTTTTTCACTAACTTCTGTATACTTGTGATGTAGGGATGTCTTAAATTTGCAGCGCAGAATGGGCGCAGCTTGACTGAATATTAGTCGATTTTGGACTCTGTCTCTCAACTGATTTTATCTGTAGATGGGTTAGACTCGATGCATACGTGCGTGCCTGGCGTCAAAGTGAAAAAGCGCTACATGCCAAGTTTAATTGGTGCTGGGCATCTGTTAGTTTCTGCTGGAAGGCGGGAATGCCTTTTTTGCCGAGGTTTACCTTTCGGTTCTAGTTGCTTGCTGCGGTGAGGCTCTTGGTTGCCCCACTGGAAATCATCGAATTAGAAGAAACCACAGTTGACTGTGTGCCTTCCTGTTGAATATATCTGTATAGGTATAAATGGTCATGCCATTTATTAGTGCCTGACTATTCTGTTAGGTTTGATGTCGCCTATCATCTCTATTTTAAATGATGCAAGGGACGGATATTCCTGAAAGCTGTGCATTTGAATACCAAGGTGTTGAATTGCGGTAACAGTTGTGGTTGATGTCAGGGTTCAAACGAAAGATTCTGAATCAATCGGCAAAACATAATAGTAGCGTTTTCGTAATTCCTTGTCAGTGAACCGACTACACTGATTGTATTCTATAGCTTTGTTCTGAAAATCACCTCGCGCTTGGAGCAAATTCATATCTGAGGAGAGATGTTGTTTTAATTGGCATCTGGCAACATCAGGCTGACGTTGGAGGCATA